AGAGCATGGCTGTTTCCTTTTTCTGAGAACTGAAGTTGAAGAGTTCTCCCCTACTTATGAGACCAGAGTTTATTCCTCTGAGTAAAATGTCCATCATTCATTTCACTGGACTAATGATTCTCAAATGTGCCACACTCATCTGGGGATGCTTAATAAACACACATTGCTGGGCCTCCCTCCTGGATTTCTGGGGTGGGGTCTAAGAATCTGCATCTCTAACAAGTAACCAGTGTTGCTTATGCTGCTAGTGTAGGTACCATACTTTGAGAACCATCGCATTAGACATTTACTACACTGAGCACTAGGAATACAAAGATCCTTATATCAAAGCCATTGTCCTCTAGGAGGCTCATAAACTGGAGAGGGAAAACAAACAGGAGACAATTTTAAGATACTGTCATTAAGACTATGCTGGAGATAAGCAACAAACCAGGAAGCCAGCCCTAAGGGAATACCCTCGTTTTGCCTGGAAGTCAGAAAGGGCTTTGTAGAGAGGGTAGGTAACACTTTAGCCAAATCTGGTAGTGTTTAATGAGCCATGGACAGTTAGTCATTCCAGGCATTGCCTCCATTCCTGGAGGCAAAGAAGTGTCCTTCTACAAAGGACAAATAATTTGAATGCATGAGCTTTAGGATGTGAGGGGGAAAAGGGGTCGGAAAGTGAGAACAAGTACGGCATGCCAGATCATGAAGGGCATCTTTTGCCAGGCCAAGAAGGTCAGACATTATCCTGAAGATAATGGGGAGCCACTGGCAGTGTTTAGGTATTGTAGAAAGACTGCTATGGCAGAAGTGTGGAAGACTGACTGACAAGGATAAGTTTAGGAGTAAGAAAACTAGGTAACTCGATATTAATGGAGTCCTAGCAAGAAATGAGGTAGGCCTGAACTAAGGTATTAGCTAGTAGGGAGGACAGCTGTACTCAAGGCAGACTTGGTTGGGAGCTGGCAGAGAGAGGAGGAGGAAGACTCAGAAGTCAGAGAAGGCTCTCCCTTGCCATTGCTTCAGTAACATCCCCCTCTCCTACTCTACCACTGACCTCTGAGGTGGCTGCTCTTCCATCCCCACCCAACATCTGTGTTACCCAGGGTTTCTTTCTCAGCCTTCTGCTCTTCTCACTCTGAATGTAATTCCAGGAGCAGCTCCACACACAATTTCAGCGCCACCTATACCAGTGACCCACAGATTTCCTTCCAGCCTCAGCCTCTCCTGAACTGCTTAGTGGTCATCACTACTTGGATGTCCCATAAATACCTCACATTTCAATATGCACAAAAACAGTATCATTCTCTTGCTACCTTTCCCGCAAACACTCGCTTATATAATTATTAATGTAAGATTCCAACTTCAAAGACTTTCTGTATGCTTGTTCCCTCTACCTAGAACATACTCTCTCTAGAAATCTCTGTGTTGCCTAAACTTCTGCCTTCTCTCAAATATCACTTCCTTGGGTAGGCCGTTCGTAACCACCTCATTTAAAATCTCAACCTCCCTTACATTCCTATTCCTTCTCATCTTATTTTTCCTCCGTTGAACTTACTAACATAGTATGGATTTTACTTAGTCACCCCCTACCCTCAAAAGCTCCAGTGGAACAGGCATTTTTATGTTTTGTTTACTGCTGTATCCCCAGTACCCAGAAAGTACCTGTGACTACAGTGCCTGTTAACTCTGCACTTTCCGTAGTGAAATGTACATTCCTAAGTCTCTTACAGGGCAGCCACTGAAACATCTGGTCTCGAACAACAAAAATTGCACCAAAATATTAATGAATTTCACAAATCCCTGAATGAAGGATATAAATTTTGTTCCCTTATCCACTTTGGGATTATTTTAAAACTTTATTGTGTATTAATGGGTTTGAAATTAAAAAAGCCTAAGAAGTTAGGACAGAAAAAGGATAAAATTTCAAGTCTGTCAATGTGTTTCTATATAACAAAAAACAAAGGATTGTAACCGCTCCCTTTGTCCATCTCCTAGTCAGATGGAACCATCAGTGGCTTCTGTTTCCATCTCTATAGCAGGAGCTGCAAACCTTTCCAGAGTGTCCTCTGCATTCATTTAAGCAACAGTAATTCTAACATAACTCTGAATGGGGAATGGTGATTATCTCCCATTTGGCAGATGATGATACTGGAGCTCAGAATTGCCAAAGATAAGTATCTTATTCAGAGTTTCATAGGAAATGACAGGGGCAGGATCTAAATTCATATAAATTTAAGTTCGACGCACACTCTTTCCAATATGCAACAGTGCTATTTTAGAGGCCATTAAAATAATACTGTTTATTATTTTTACATTATGACTCATAAGAGAAAAAGGTATTTCTGCTTCCAGGGGTTATTGCTATTTTCAGAAGAAAAAGAAAATGATTTAATGCATTCTTTGTGGGCTGCCTCTGAGTGACAGGTGGTTATATTCCTATTCTCTTGATTCTACCTCTAAGGACTGGGAATAAAGTTTGTTTTATTATACTGGTAACTTCTTCTCTCCTGAAATTTTAAACAATGATAGTTGTGCCTCTTAATATTCAGCACCTTGGAGATCCATTTTAAGATAAATCTTACAACATTAATTTTGAAAAAGAGTATACTATCAAATAAATGTAATACGGTAAATACGGTAGTTTGCGATTTTTTTTCCCTACCTTGCGATTTCAAAATTTCTCACTTCTGGTAACAAATTGGAAGTGTTCACATTGAGAATACAGAACATTTCATAGACACACGCAAGCTATAAGGAAATCTAATGAACTCCTCTCTACTTAGAGATGAGAAAATTGGGACCAGGCTAGTCACAAAGACTGTGGGAGCATGGTAATAATTCAAGCCTTGCAAGAGAATCCAAGTCAACCTTCTCAAGAGTGTGACTCTTGTTTACTCTCAGGAGAAAATGGAATGAAGGCAAAAACAGCAGAATATCTTATTTCCAAGAATATTCTAACATCTTATAGTGCTTGGCACAGAGAAGATTCTCAAGATGTCTGAAGAAGCACTTTGCTGACTGAAACAGAATTTTTCTGGGAGCAAAACTTCTATCCACTACTCCTCTCTTCAGCTTTAACAACATTTGGAAGCTATAGTTGGTTGAAAATCGAACATTCATATTTTACACATGTTTTAAGCCCATTTCTTCTTTTCATAAGTCTTAAGCCTCCATTAAAATGACCAATTTCTGCAGCTGTCACTTTTTCTACATCTAAATGAACTCTGACGTGATTTGTCTTGATGGCAAATGCAGACATCTGAAAATAAACCTGTTTCATAAAACATCTGAAAAGGCCAATGAAGACATATCCTGCAGACAAACTCTCATGTGTTACCTACCATTTCTAGGAAATACCTCTTATCTGAGGTATTTATAAAGATGCAGGGTTTTTTTCTTTTTCTTTTTTTTCTTCCAAGATTTTATTTAAATTCAGTTTAGTTAACATATACTGTAGTTCCATTTCAGGAGTAGAATTTAGCGATTCCTCATGTACATATAACACCCAGTGCTTATCACAACACATGCCCTCCTTCATGCCCATCACCTGTTTAGCCCATCCCCACACCCAGCTCCCCATTTTTTTCTTTTAAGTTTTTTATTTAATTTAATTTAAAATTTTTTTAAAGTAGGCTCCACACTGGGCATGGAGCCCAACTCCTGGCTTGAACTCATGACCCTGAGATCAAGACCTGAGCTGAGGTCAAGAGTCAGATGCTTAACCAACTGAACCACCCAAGAGCCCCAAGTTTTTTATTTTAATTCCAGTATAGTCAACATACAGTGTTATATTAGTTTCAGGTGTACAATGGAGTGACTCAGCAATTCTACACATTATTCAGTGCTCATCATGATAAATGTATACGCTTAATCCCCTTCATCTATTTCACCCATCCTCCCCACCTCCTCTCTGGAGATCACCTGTTTGTTCTCTATAGTTAAGAATCTGTTTCTTGGTTTGTCTCTCTTGTTTTTTTCCCTTTGCTTGTTTAGTTTCTTAAATTCCACATAGGAATGAAATCGTATGGTATTTGTCTTTCTCTGACTGACTTACTTTGCTTAGCATTATACTCTTTAGATCCATCCATATTGTTGCAAATGGCAAGATTTCATTCTTTTATGGCTGAATAATATTCCATTGTATATATATACCAGATCTTCTTTATCCATTCATCTATCGATGGGCACTTGGGCTGCTTCCATAGTTTGGCTATTATAAATAACGCTGCGATAAACACAGGGATGTCTGTTTTCCTTTGAATGAGTGCTTTTGTGTTTTTGGGTAAATACCCAGTAGTGTGATTACTGGACAGTAAGGTAGTTCCATTTTTAACTTTGTGAGGAACCTCCATACTGTTTTCCACAGTGGCTGCACCAGTTTACATTCCCACCAACAATGCCAGAGGGCTCCTTTTTCTCCACATCCTTGCCAACACTTGATTTTTATGTTTTTGCTATTAATATTTTTTAGTCTACATTTTATTTTTGTCTGTTCTACATTCCTTCTACTCTTGTTCAATATACTACCCCCACCTCTCTCCTTTACTAATATTTCTTATGACTTCATGGTTTTGGTGAAGGCTACAGCCAGAATTCCCTGCCCTGGTCAGTTTTGATGTACCATCCATCCTCCATGAGTGTGGCCCGTGGGTGGGTACATGATCCAAACTGGGCCAGTTAAGAGTCTTTACCTGAGATGCTTCAGACTGAAAGCCAGTAGGGAGAGTCTTTTGTTCCTTGTATATTAAACTGGGATGACATAAGCGTTGAACTTCCTGAAAAGTACCCACAGAGGAAGCCATTTGTAATAGGATAGAACCAGACTTAACAGGAAGGGCTGAGACACCAGGACAAAGAATCTTGGGGTGAAGTCTGCATCTTTAGCTGTATAATTATCTAGATCTCTTCCATCAAATTAAGGTTGCAATTAGTTCCAGTTGGGTTTTTCAGTTGACATTAGAAAGCATCCTTAAATAATCCATATTATAATTAAAAAGAGTTGTCCTCTTTTACAGGTGAAGATGGAGCTGGAAAAACAAGCTTAATAAGAAAAATTCAGGGAATAGAAGAGTACAAGAAAGGAAGAGGGTTGGAATATTTGTACTTAAATGTTCATGATGAAGACAGGGAAGGTAAGTGTCATTTATATGTAAAACAAGTTTCCTGAGGCCTTTCTGAGTTGCACTGATGCTCATATTAGTCTTTGACTTTTCTTAGTGTGTCATTTTTCACTAGGAGTCCTAGTCTGTCATGTTAGTCAGTGAATAGTTCTGTGTGAGCATGCTTTTATTGGTTTGGGATTGGGATTCATAGAGTGATATTTTTTAACATCTTAAGGTATTCTGGTGTGCAGACTAGGTTTCTTGCTGGCCTTGAAGAATCTCAGTTCTTCAGTTCACTTCTCCCTGAGAGAGTGGAATAATAGTATCCTAGGGTTCTTTTGTTGACTCCCTTTTCACCTTCTCATTTTTGACACAAAAATGTCATCTACTCCCCTGCTTTTTTCAATATGATCAGCCATTTTTTTCTTGTATACATCACTTGTCTTCTCATTTTTGTGTATAATATCATGAATATGCAGGGCTGTCTCTGCTGATAAGAAGAGAGAGAGAGATTCTGATGGTAAGAATAGAAACATGTAATTCATGTTGGTGATTTGGGATTGAGAAATAAGAAGTAGAGGCTGCTGGTGTTCTGTGTTGGCAGTTAAATCATTTTCCTGAATGTTTGTTAGGCCTTTACTAAATTGATAGATGTGGCCTACCTAAATAGTTGAACCTTGTCAAAGGAGACCTCTCCTGTGGAGGTGCCCTAAGATACCAAGTAGTATTGTTAGTTGGATAATGAAATAACTTAATCCTATTGTCTTGGTAACTTTCTTTTGTCTGTTATAGATCAAACAAGGTGTAATGTATGGATCTTAGATGGAGACCTTTATCACAAGGGCCTCCTTAAATTTTCACTGGATGCCATTTCTCTGAAGGACACTCTAGTTATGCTGGTTGTGGATATGTCAAAGCCTTGGACTGCTTTGGATTCTCTACAGAAATGGGCAAGTGTTGTTAGAGAACATATTGACAAATTGAAAATTCCTCCTGAAGAAATGAAAGAAATGGAACAAAAGTGTGAGTAGTCTAGAAATACTAATATAGATTTCAAACATCTATTCCTAGCTATCGTAATTGTAGGAATTTTTTACCTTTAATAAGGTTTAATGAAGGATACATAATGTGACTATTGCTTTTGAAATTCAATTTGATGTGCTAGGTTTTAATGTAGTTTTAAATTGGAAACCTATACATAATGGCAGACTCTTTGGTAGAGGTGTCTTTTCTCCTTTGCAGAAAGGCTGTAAATGTTCATTTTGAGAAGTAGGTTTTCAGGATTAAAAAAAAAAAAAATTGAATCTTTCTTCAGCTGTTCGTTTTCAGCACTTTCATTTCTTAATAAGTAGAGCAATCTTATCAACCTTGTCAAAATGAAATGTGCCTCAAAAATGTTAACAACATAAAGATGATAAGCTGGTTTTATGATTTACAAAGTATGTATTTTGTATATACCCATGTAAATTGGAAATTTTCAAGTAAATTATGAAAACGATTCAGGTCATTTCTTACAAATTGTAAGCCAGTTGTCACAGTTCTTAATTTCACTGAGAGTTCTTCATTTGCCAATGTTGTACTTTGCTTAAGAAAATATACAGATGAATGCTGCTTTTCTTTGTTATTGTTAGCTGATTACAACTTTTAGGGGAAAATTGACAGCTTACTAGAATTTATATGCTAGGAAATAGTAGAGACTTAGGAGAATGTATGTCCTAAATCACTGAAAAAAATGTGTAACTGCTTTTAGCCTATACCTGTGTTTCCCTGTTGGCCATTGTCTGTGGGTCTTTTTTTTCCCCGAAGTTTATACTATAGCACTGGTTCTCAATTTGTGGGTCCTAGGACCCTGTACTGGATCAGTACAGCTGGGAACTTGTCAGAAATACAAGCTGGGAACTTGTCAGAAATACACATTCTTAGGCTCTACCCCAAACTCAGTCATTACTCTAGTGCATGCTAAAACTTGAGAACCACTGGTAGATTTCAGCTTCTGATTTGAAGGGTAATAGCTACCAGATCTGCTAGGGTTGAATGCATTTCCCTATGTTCCTGGAAGAACTGCACTCAACTATTCAAGGCTCCCTCTTCCTTGACCCTATCTAAGTTTAAGACAGTTTTCCTCCTTTATGGCTTTGTATAGAATTCCCTCATATACTGTTTTAATCCTATGCTGTGGATTTGTTTCCAGATGTGTTATTTTGCTTTTAAACATGGAAAGCAGCCTTATGTAGAAATCCTGCATCACTGATTATTTCCTTGAGAATTACTCAGAGAGTAATCATTGAGTCAAAGTATACATTGTTAAGGCTCTTAATACATTCACATTAACTTTTTGTTAAATGGAGGTTTTGACAGACATGCAAATGAGTTCTAAAAATTTATCAGCATTGGTAATATCTCATTAATTCTTACCAGAATTACAGAGTGAATTGCACCTAGATTGCACCTAGGTAAAAAGGAAAAGACCTGAGTAAAGGGTTTAGAGAAAGGAAAGTAATGTTAGAAAGTCATCTAGGTCTGACATTCATTCATTCATTCACTCATTTACGATTTTATTTATTTATTTGAGAGAGAGAGTGTGAGAGAGCTCAAGCAGAGGGAGGGGCAGAGGGAGAGGGAAAAACAGGCTCCCCTGAGCAGGGAGCCCGATGCGGAGCTTGATCCCAGGACACGAAGGCAGATGCTTAACCCACTGAGCCACCCGGGCACCCGTAGGTCTGACTTTTAAATTGTGGAACATTCCCCCCCTTCCCTCCCCCCCCGACACACACCTATTTTTTATCCTCTCAGTGCCCTTTGTGAATTAGAGAATGTAGAGAAGCAAAGCTAGATTGTGACTTACCCAAAGTAATTTGCACAGACAGAACTGGCTTACATTAAACCCCACTCTTAGAAGCCACTCAGTGTTGTACTCTGCCTCCTCATAATTAATGTGGGTCTAGTGTTTCTGTCCTGTCTTTGAAACAGATTTCTCAAACTTTTTGTTTGTTCTCTTACACAAGACTAAGTATAAAGTCTCATAAAATACATATTTAGATTATGGCAGAAAAAGCTACCTGCTGAAATAAAGCAATTTCTAAACTATGTATTAAATTATTTACTTTGATTTTCAGTGATTAGAGACTTCCAAGAATATGTAGAGCCGGGAGAAGATTTCCCAGCCTCTCCTCAGAGAAGAAATACTGGGTCACAGGAAGACAAAGACGACAGTGTGGTTTTACCTCTGGGTGCGGACACACTTACACATAACTTGGGCATCCCAGTACTAGTAGTTTGCACCAAGGTTAGCTTCCTTCTTAGAGATTCTACTACTGCTATTAACCAAGGATAAACAGCTCTTTTGTTTTCCAGCCTCCTTTTGGAGTTGACACACTAGCTTTCCTAGATATTTTTTCTTAACAAATAGAAATAATAGTTTAAAATATTGAATGATAATCACATGTTGGTTTTGTGATCTTAGTCCTAGTTTCTTTGAAAGAAAACGTTACTTCAAATATTCTGTTCTTGATTGAATTTCATATTCCTAATTTCAATTAGACTTCATTGTCCAGTCAGTTGAGTAGAAATACTACAGGTAAGATGATAACTTTGGTATTAATTTTTATAAAATACTTTCCACAATAAATTGTGATATACTAATATCCTAATATCAGAAGATTATGCCCTTAAAATAGACTTAAACACCTACCAGCACTCATTATGTAAAGATGATATGCAGTTATTAAGGGCTTTTTATTTATTTACTGAAGAGGTTCTGATAGGATTGCTATTACCAAATTCTGTTAATTTAGTTCCATCACTGTGCACACTTGTAATAAAATCAGATTCCCCTTAAAAATAATTTCTAGTTCAAGTTCATCTTCTTCCCATTTGGTCTTGAGTAGTATGTCTTTATTGTTTATAGATCATGGAATATTAAGGAAATGACAGAACATACAAACCTTTTTGAGATCTAAAATTATTAATGTTTTCTGTAACATGTAAAAACTTGCACATGTAATTGAAGGGAGATATGGCACTTACTCATCTTTGGAATAAAAATGATAAAAAATATTTTTAATCTAGGTTAAGTTTTATTTTAAACTCTGCAAAAATTATCAATAACAAAGGGATGGGGGTAGCATTTAAAATAATTAAATCAAAATCTGGTATCTGCTTTTCAAATAGTGATTGTTGTGTAGTTATTACTTACACCTTATCTCTAAAACTGTTTTTAAGCTCTCACACTAGAATCCTTCTGTGTGTGGTTTGTTTTTGTTTTATTTTGTTTGACAGAGAGCTGTTTGTTGGCAGATAATTTCCCTGTTTTACAGCACAACTTGCGTCTTATTAAAACCTCTTATTTTCAAAGGAAAACTGTTAAGCTTAAAGGGACCTGAATTAGTATCAAATGAGTCAGAGTCATAAGATTTTTAAGCCAAAAGAGATTATCTACTGTATTTCACAGACTCTAAGGCAATCATCAGTTTTGTATTAGCTTAGGAGCTTTTCAAATGTGTAGGGGGTGTGGGAGAGGTGTCTCAGGACAGAGAAATAATGGCGGTTTAACTCTTCTTAAAGACTCTGGAAAATGAGATTCAGAGAGACTAAGTGTCTTGCCTTAGGTCCAGATCCTCTTATTTCATTTAAATATGTTCCACCAAAAGTATCGTAAGTCAACAATATAATAATTATAAATATCTTTAGTAATTTGAAATAATTACTCAGTGTTCTATAAAATGGACAAACATGCTATATCATGATTATACAAAGAGACTCTGTTGTATGACGTATATATGCATAACAAAAAATTGCATGTCAGATTTGACCTCAAACTAATTTAGGTATAACGAACATTATTATTAAATGGTTATTTTTAGATTTCATACCTTCAGTTCCAGAAGGTTTTGGTGAAGTAATGGATATCATGTTTATTTTTTTGTAACATTTTTCTGTAGCAAGCAGAATTCAGAATCGTCTCATTGACTGTACAGGTGATGCTTCAAAAATAGCTTGTAATTCTCCTTTTTTTTTTGCTGTTGGTAAGATTGTAGTAAGAGTGAGCAAAAGAACCAGAAAAGAAATGAAGGTCACTTAAGAGTTATCAGATAAACAGAGGAGCAAAGAGGAAATAGGGAAGGGTGCAGACTCCCAGATATACAGTTTTTGATAGAACTAGAATAGAGTTTAGAACTTAAAAACTTCGTTTAAGTCAAAAGGAGTTGTTGAGTCAGCAAGTATGAGCAACCATCTGCTTGTCCTGTCACTCTTCATTCCTTTATGTACCGAAACTTTCTCTTTGGTGTTTTCAACATTCAATAGAACATGGACATTAATACATTTTAAGGAAATTATTCCTTAGTCTTGATTCCAACTAAAAGAACCTAGACAGATAAGAGTAATAGATATTCTAATAGTCTGATGTTCAGTCACCATATCAAAGTGGTAGGTTTATGATATTCCCCCACCCAAAACTGTTTAAATCATTATATTTAACTTTGATTAAAGTTAATATTCTTGTTTTTCTTATTTTAACTCAACAGTGTGATGCCATTAGTGTATTGGAGAAAGAACATGACTACAGAGATGAACATTTTGATTTTATTCAGTCACATATCCGGAAGTTTTGTTTACAGTGTATCCTTTTCCTGCATTCATCAGTGCAATGTACCTTACCTGTTTGTTTGCTTTTTTTAATTAATGGAATTAAATTGATGGACTCCAGGAATTCCATAAACTTTTTTCCTCCTGCTTCTGGCTAGAAATTTCATTTTAGCTCCCAAATCATTTATATCTGGGTATTTTGAGCTATAAAAGCAAGTATTGAAATATGTAACTTTGATTTGCTGTGTTTTAAAGGATTATGTCTGAGAAAAATCATTTATCAAGTATCAGTCTTTTTGGAAAATTCTAATGAGTTGAAATGGTAAACATTCTGATTATAAAGCAGTATTCATTTATTGGGAGTGGTGTTGGGGCAAGATCAATGTTTAGGTTTGTGTATTCCCATTTTTAACATGTTCACTATGTTACCATCTCTGCATATAGTCAAATGCAATGGTTTCAAAATCTGGGTGTGCCCAGCTAAGGCTTGCTGAATTGGAACATTTCAAGGTGAGGCTGAAGAATCTCTACTTTTAAAAAAGCTTTCTGGGTGATTTTGATAATCACAAGGTTAGAAAACCTATTATAAGGAATCTTGTCTAGGTTGCAAGGATTGGAGGAGCCACTGAATAACATTCACAGCTAAAAGAAGGATAAAATGAGGGTTGTACATGAATGCCTTTAAGAGAATTTGCTATTGAAAACTTTTTCATAGCTTGAGTGCACCGAGGAGAGCTGTTCTCACCCACCCCTCTTAGATTAGAGAGTCTGTGGTTGCATTCCCTAACCAAAGCTTTTGTGTCTGAAAAGTGAAGAAATGATGACATTAGCAGTAGGTAGGAATCATAAGTAATATATACATGTTTATAGTGTCTGTAGTTTTTCATTTTCATTAATGGACATTTAATTTAAGGACCACTTACAAGAAGCCTAGCTGAATAATGAATAAGATCACTTGATACTGGCAGTTTCCCTTTCCCCTTTTTTCCTCAGTACTTTGTCCTCTCTGTGGCCCTTTCTTTTTTCCTGTCACATAATGGTTGACTTGGTTGAATTGAAGGGCATTTGTCTACATAAGAGACTTTAAAAAGAAGACAAAAAGTGGGAGTAATTGGGGGCGCCTGGGTGGCTCAGTCGCTAAGCGTTAAGCGTCTGCCTTCAGCTCAGGTCATGATCCAGGGTCCTGGGATCGAGCCCCACATCGGGCTCCTTGCTCAGCAGGAAGCCTCCTCTCCCTCTCCCACTTCCCCCTGCTTGTGTTCCCTCTCTCGCTGTCTCTCTCTGTCAAATAAATAAGAATCTTTAAAAAAAAAAAAGTGGGAGTAATTGAAATAGATGTCTGTAGACTTTTTTGTTATCTTTGAAGATTAGCAAATTTGGGAACAAGCAGTCTCTTTAAACATTTATTTAATACTGTTCTTGAAAATGTACATAACAGAAATGTAATCAAGAAGGAGACTGTCCACTGAAATAATTACAGACCTTTAGTACAGCCCACTGATTTATTTAAAAGAATACAAACTGAGAAGTCATTTCAAGATAGTGAGGCACACACGTGTGTGTGTGTGTGTGTGTGAGAGCAACAGTTCAAAATCATTTATTTATTTTTATTATTATCATGTTATGTTAATCACCATACATTACATCATTGGTTTTTGATGTAGTGTTATTTATTTATTTTAAGATTTTATTTATTTATTTGTCAAAAAGAGAGAGAGAGCACAAGGACCCCAGGATCATGACCTGAGCCGAAGGCAGCCGCTTAAAATCATCTTTAAGTTTTTTAAATGTTAGTTTTAACTAATGCAGATTTTTCAGCTATATCATAAGTTGGTTCTCATGAGAAAAGATCACTCATTAATGAAAAGTTCACACAGTTTTTACCTAAAATGATGTTTCTATCAAGTTATGTTTTCTGAGAAGTCCTTTTTAGCAAAACCACTTTTAGATTCATAATCTTCGGTTCATGCACTAATAAATATGAGTATCCCAATCCAGAAGTAGAAGTTTGACCATTCCCAGCCTTTCCCCTTGGTCTGAGTTGTCATCTCAGGACACAGTGGGCAGTGCTAGAGTGTGGTCCTTAGCAGTGGCCATAGCATTTCTGATAGTCACTCTGACCACATCATCTGTCAGTAGTCACATTGCCTGTTTTCCACAGGCCTCTCTTGATCTTTGGATCTACCATACCATTTGGTAGGGTCTGCCTTAATTAACACATCCTCTGGTGAGGTTGTTACCTCAAGTTTTGGTCATGAACTCAACTTTTGCCTTGAATCATGCTGTACCTATTGGTTCATCTCTCTTCAGTAGGTCTCCTGAGCTTTGCTCCTGAAGTTCTAATTCCTGGGGCTAGTGAAAACCACAAGAGATACTAGTATACACCTTTTTTTTTTAAACGCAAGCAAAATAGTTGTTGATAAATAATATCCCTCCTTCGTGAATTTAGGAAGGTTAAAAACAAAGCCAATTACCTCTTCTTGTGCTTTAAATGAGGAGGTAGTAGCAGTATCAGTATTATTAAATTTACCTTTACTTTCTTGGCTTAATGAGACTTTTGCCCTCCTAAATGAAGTTGATAATGCAAAGATAGTTTTATTTGCATTTTAGCCTATATGTATTTTATACTTTTGAAATTCTTTTTTAATTTTTTTATTGTACTTTTGAAATTCTTGACTACCCTATAATGTACCTTTCGGAATTATTTTTGAAACTGCTATGCATATAACTGTTAAGCTGAGAACACAGAATTTTATGGTACCTGTTCATGGAATTTGTCCAAAAGTTTCTTTAACAGTATTATTCAGATGGTGCAGCACTTATTTACACTTCAGTAAAAGAAAACAAAAATATAGATTTAGTATATAAATATATCGTTCAGAAACTGTATGGATTTCCCTATAAGATTCCTGCTGTTGTTGTGGAAAAAGATGCAGTATTTATGTAAGTATCCTCTTCAGTGTATTATTTTATTGTGTGTTATTGCTGCAATTTGTTGGTGAATCCTCGGTTTTGGTTATGAGGTGAGACCAGTAGACCTTTCCACGATGAGTAGGTGAGAATCTCTTCTAGATTGTTTTATTTATAACCTGCTGTGATCCATTTATCTTTGCCTGTTAGATTTATTGCTAGCCTGAGCCCCTTTTGGAAAGCCTTGCTATTATATATAGCTAAACCGTTGAGGGCATATATCAGTGTATTTACTTACTTTTTGATTGATACTCATTTATTGATTGGGTTTGATACATAAAGGACGCAGTATATAATCTAGACATGCTTTCAAAAAGTTATGTGAATACACTGAGAGGTAATAATAATTAACCAGACACCCCCCCCCGAAAGACCCCCCAAACTGTGCATTTTTAAAATCAGGAAGATTAAGAACCTTTTTAAGTAGTAATTAGTAAACTATAACTTGAGCATTATAATAAAAAAGCTGATTAGTTTTGGGGGTTTTTTTGCATCTTTTTTATTGTTATGTTAATAGTTTTTTTTAAGATTTTATTTATTTATTTGAGATAGTGCCAGTGAGCACGAGCAGGATGGGGGGAGGGGTGGGGGGAGGGGCAGAGGGCGAGAAGAGGCAGACTCCCCGCTGATCTGGGACGGAGCTCCATCCCAGGACTCCCATGATCATGACCTGCCGAAGGCAGATGCTTAACCCATTGATCCACCCAATCTAATAAATAAAAGCTTATTAGTTTTTCATAATTGGTCAGATTTGTTCCCTTTAATATGATCATGGATTTAATGAAGGAATGACTTTATAAATGCTTGAGATTTATTATATGCATTTCTTTCCAGTCCAGCAGGGTGGGATAATGATAAGAAAATAGGAATATTACATGAAAATTTTCAAACATTAAAAGCAGAAGATAATTTTGAAGACATTATAACTAAACCACCTGTCCGAAAGGTAACAGTTTTAGTATATATAGTCTCAATATTTAGCCTTTTAAACTGAGGGGGCAGTCCATAATTTTAAGATTATAGTTAGAAAGGTAAGGGGGTCCTTTCCTATCAAGGGGTTTTCTAAGTATAATTTGGGTGTTGCTAATGTCAGTTCAAAATAAAAATCTGTTATCAAAATATAAACCAGCTGTTCAGTTACTGAATTCTTACTTAGCCTTTGGCATATTTATATTAGAAAATATTAGTGTGGATTCCATAGTCTAATGGAAATAATGAATTGGTAGGAGTGAATGTTTGGATCTTGAAGAGTAGGTTGAAGCTGTGAACTTTCCATCCCAGAACTCAGCCAAAAGCCAAGAAAATATAGGTAGAATAATTGTGTTAGCTTCTATCTGTTGAGGTAGATCTGGAGTCTTCTCCACACTCACTAGTAACTCACTAGTTACCCATGCTAGCCCACAGCTATCCAGGAGCTTCCAGTTTAAACTGTTGTATGGCATTCTTATGCCTATTTAATCTGCTTCCAGGAAGTACTCTTCTTTCACATATTTTGATTTCATGTTAAGTAATATGTCGTGTTCTATAGTTAGGTGTTACAGATGTTTCTAGAAAGTTGTATAAAAAGAAGCATTTACATATAGTACTTCTCAGTGACTTTTAAGGGGACATGCTTTAGGAAAAATAATTTTTATTTAACATAAAATAAGATTCTTACTTAAAAATCCAAACATAAAAAAAAAAAATCCAGACATTGATACTGAGCATCTGTCTTCTGTTTGTGGGTAATTAGAAAAAAGAAAGTTAGTGACAAATGAAAAATCAGTTGGCATGGTATTTGGTTTGGATGTCTATTAAAAGAAGTGCAGACATCAGGGGGAAAAAAGCAACAGTTTTTCCCATTCTCTTTTACCAACAAAATTGTGCTGTAACTTGTCTTTTATTCATCCCACTAATACCTCCTGGGCCACTGTTTAGGCACTAGGTGCTAAATAGGACGATGATGCAGTAGTAAATCAGTGCACATGCCAGTGCTCAAGTGCTGATAAGTGCTGTGGCTATAAAGCCCAGTGAGGGAGGGTGGGGGAGAGCAGGGGCGCGGGGAGGGTTACTGTTTTAGGAGTGGTTAGGGAATGGCTCTGATAAGAAGGGAGAGTGTTGCATGCTGAGGGAGCCGATTGAAAGTGCACCTGCCCTGAGGCAGGAATGTAGAAGGAGGGCGGAGAGGCTGGAAAAAAGTGAACAGGAGGGCCAGATTGATAGGACGTGGAAGGCGGAGTTAAGATCTTGTGGGGCCTTCTCATGCAGTTGGAGTCAGGACTTTGAATTTCATTGAGTGGGATGGAAAGCGCCTGGAGGGGGAGTTGAGCAGAGGAGTGATGTAATCGGCTTGACCTTCTGAAAGGATCACTCTGGCTGCTGGTGGAAAATAGCCCCATAGGGTGCATTGTACAGAAATAGTAGAAGCAGGAGATGGCTGCTGCTTCTTTTTGCCTAATTACTCAGCAGGTAGAAGAGCCATTATATTTTTGTTTCAGAGAAACCAGGGGCAAGTTGCTTTTCACTCGCCTGGGGTATTATTGGCCCTTTTAAAACACCGAACTGTTGGTTAACAGAAGCATGATTAATATACCTATTGACTCTAAGGTTGTGCTGTCCAATACTGTAGCTACTAGTCGCATATGGCTTTTAAACACATATTAAGTAAAACTAAATAAAATTAAATTTTCAGCACCTGAGTCACAGTAGCCACATTTCTTTTTCTTTTTTTGAGAGATAGGGTGCGAGGCAGGGGAGGGCAGAGAGAAAGGGAGAGAGAATCTCAGGCAGGCTCCATGCTCAGCGCAGAGCTGGATGCAGGGCTCAGTCTCCCAACCCCAAGATCACAACCTGAGCTGAAGTCAGGACTCAGATGCTTAACTGACTGAGTTACCCAGGCGTACGATAGTAGCCCCATTTCAGATGCTCAATAGCTACAGGTGGCTGGTGGCTACAGTGTTGGACAGGGCAGCCATCAAACATTCACACTATTGCAGATGGTTATTGGACAGCTCTGCTGTAGGGGCTTGGGTCGGGCAGTTCACTTGTGTAAATATAGGTAGTGTTTGTATTGAATTTTTTTTTAATTAGTCTCATCTAGAGAGTATGTTATTAATGGTTTTAGCATAATATATTAGACTTGCTCATTTATGCATTGCTCATTTCAGTTTGTACATGAGAAGGAAATTGTGGCAGAAGATGACCAAGTGTTTCTTATGAAGCTACAGGTATGAAATTATATCAGAAGCAGATTTAGTATGGTTAATGGGTAAACTGTTCTTACATATTTTTTAAAATACAGCAATACATGCTATGAGTGTCTAACCTAGAACTCTTTTGTGTTTTTCAGTCCCTTTTAGCAAAGCAACCACCAACTGCAGCTGGAAGGCCTGTGGTCAGTATTGCAGATTTTGACAGAATTATTAAAGTGCCATACATTATTGGTTTAGTTCCCTTTTTTCTTAATCGTATACATGTCTCCTGTGGGTGTGCTTTGATACAAACTTGAACTAAAAATTCTTCTGGAATTTGTGACATTTTAAACTTCACTCCTTTTTAGAATATTTAAATCCTAAAGATCCATTTTGCCTTGTTTGTCATACATGAGTTACTGTGTGGAACCATTTTATATGGTTCCTTACCATTTATATAAATTCTTAAACAACAGCCCTGTGAGGCAGGTACAACCAGCCCCATTCTGCAGGTGGGGAAATGGAGGCTTTGGAGAACCTTATAGTTTGCCTGAGATTTTACAGCTAGTAGGATGCAAGTCCAGATTGGAACTCAGATCTGACTCCCATGCTTATACTCGTAATCACACCCCGTTATTCAATATGTTCTTTTCCCATTGAAGGGGAATTTGTATTCTAAAATGTGATGGGTCTCGTGGTATTTTCTGATAATGAGGACACAATTGCTAAACCTGCAATGGCTTGCAGTGTAAATGTACCAGTAGAACAGATGGGGGACGGTTAAAAAGTAATTTCTTTTTATAATAACTTTGGTGAAGTTGGAAGTTTCCTGCTTTGATAGTTATGGCTTTCCTATTTTTACATAGGATGCCTCACCAAGAGTCCCAGGAGGCTCCCCTCGAACACCAAACCGATCTGTGTCATCCAATGTTGCCAGCGTGTCACCCATCCCTGCAGGGTCAAAAAAAATTGATCCAAACATGAAAGGTACATTTCTCTCTTTTCCTAGAGAAAACAACCCAATACATTCCACACTAAAAAGAAATCTACCTAGCTTCCCGCCTTTTTTCCATAGCTGTTTACATTTTTGTGCAATAGCTTCTAACCTTTGTCTCTAACCTATAATCTCATAGTTAATCAGACTTGAAACTGTTTTATAGTATAGCCTTACTATATCATATCTATGGTGTGAGCTTTATGAAAGTTTTGTGTTATATTTAAACTTCTCCTAAGATAGGTCATTGAAGAAATTCATGTTAATAGGTTATCTGCAGTTAACATAAAGAGAAAAGCTATATGCATAATAGCTATTTCAGTAGGAATAATTGCCATAAGTGGGATTAGTAGGTGAGAGTTTGTACATTTTTATGCCTTTTGATAATATGTTTCAAATGGCTTATTCAATTTACAAGTCATCAACATTGAGTGTTGCAATTTTGCCACAACCTAATCAGCGTTCTTTAAATACTAGTAAGAGCTTTGTCCCTGGTATTTCCTTTCTTTTTGTTTATTTCTCTTCTGTGAATTGTTTCTTGTTATCCTTTACCTATTTATCTCTTGGAACTGGTTTTCACACAGGATTAGGTAGCTTTTTGTAATACTTGAGGCAAACATTTCTCAACAGTTATTTTTGAAGAAACTTTTTCAGAAAGGAGGTATAGTAGCATCTAACATCTGTTTTAAATGCTTTTGGTTTTTTAAAAATAACATTCTAATTTTTTAATAATTATCTTACACTCCTAAAGTTTACTCATATTTTGTTTTATACATGAATAGATTAGAGATAAGTTACCCAGGCTCAAAAGATCAAACTAGACTTGAATTGGGAATACACAGCTCTTAAATTTTAAATATTAATTGCTCTCTGTGTGTGATTACTATAATAATAATGTATAGAAGAATCTAATGTTTTGAGTGAAAGTTTTTTGGTTTTTGTTTTTTTAATAGCTGGAGCTACAAGTGAAGGTGTCCTGGCAAATTTCTTCAATAGTTTGCTGAGTAAAAAGACTGGCTCTCCAGGAGGCCCTGGTGTTGGCAGTGGTAGCCCTGGAGGTGGGGCTGGAGCTGGAAGCAGTGGTTTACCACCATCTGCCAAGAAATCAGGTAATGTTCCTAGAGCTTTTTTTTTAATAGCTTTATTGAGATAAAATTTACATACCATGAAGTTCACTCATTTAAAGTATAAATTCAGTATTGTATTTTTACAGTTATGCAAACCATCATAATCTAATTTTGAAACATTTTAATAATGTTTTCAAGGTCCATCCACATTGTAGCATGTATCGTTATTTCTTATTACTGAATAAAATTCCATTGTACAGGTATGCCACATTTTGTCTACTCAACAGTTGATGGACATTTAGATTGTTTCCATTTTTGGCCATTATCAATAGATCCACTGTGAACATGTGTTTTTGACAGATGTTTGACAAATGACATATGTTTTCATTTCTCTTGGGTATATACCCAGGAGTGGAATTGTTGGATCATGTGGTAACTCTATGTTTAAAGTTTTTGAAGAACGGCCAAAGTGTTTTGCAAAACGCTGCACCATTTTATATTTCCAGCAACAGGGAATGAGGGTCCCATTTTCTCCACATCCTCTCCGACATTTGTTTTTGTCCATCTTTTTGATTAGAGCCATCCTAGTGACTGTGAAGTCATATCTCATTGTGGTTTTGATTTGCATATCCTTGGTGGCTAATGATGTTGAGAATCTTTTCATCTGTTTATTGACCATTTGTAGATCTTTGGAGAAATGTCTGTTCAAGTCCTTTGCCCATTTTTAAGTTGGGGTGTCTTTTTATTGTTGAATTTTAAGTGTTCTTTGTATATTCTGTGTCCTAGACCCTTGGCAGATGTAGGATTTGCAGATGTTTTCTCCCCTTGTGTTGGTTGTCCTTTCACTTCTTGATGGTGTCCTCTGAAGCACAAAAGTGTTTAATTTTTATGAAGTCCAGTCTATTTTTCTTTTGTTGCTTGTGTAACTGCCCTTTAAACAGACATTTTAACCCATTTTCCTTTTTAATCCCATCTTTTTGCCACCCTTTTCACAAAAATCGTTGTGCAGCTACCATTTTTGGAACCTTTTACAGGTTTCTGGGTATAAACTGAATTACTTCTTGGCTTTTCCCACTGCCAGTGTAGAAGATTAAGCTTTCCCGAGACTGCTAATACAGTTACTACTCATTCATATTCTTTCTACATTCCAAAATTTTGTTGCAATTTTCTCTTTCACTGTTCTTACTGTCCTACGCCTTTTTAAAAAATATCTTTATGAGATTAAGTGATAGGTGCTAGTTTTACTTCCATTTGGTAACAGACCTCATAATGTAAAATGAGGGGATTTATTTTTTTTAGGGGATTTATTTTGAAATTAAGGATATTTGTATAACTTAGTATGCTAGATAAAGTTAATGAAACTGTTGGCAGCTTTTAAATGAAGAGACATTGGTGTAAAAGATACTTTGACTTCTATCTAAATCTTGTTTCTTTTCCTTCAATGTAGGCCAGAAGCCTGTCCTATCAGATGTTCACGCAGAACTAGACAGAATTGCACGCAAACCAGTTACAGTTTCTCCTACAACACCTACAGCTCCTACGGAAGGAGAAGCTTCTTGAAGATACCAAATAAAGCCATTTATTCAGTTTTTTGGGATAATGTAAACTGGTCTCTGCCTTCTCCTTGAAAAGTGGAATTAGGGAACTGGAGTGCTTTTTCAGATGGACTAAATTTCTTTCTTTTCTTTTCTTTTTTTTTTGTGGTTGCCCATTTTTATAAAAGGAAGCTATACAGAAGAAAAATTATTCTACACTATGTAGGATTGCTGTTTGCATTGCCACTTTGCATAAGGAAATAATTTTGGATTTTGAAAAACTCAGAATTTATAGATCTGAAATACAGCCATGTGATCATACTCTAAAGGCTCTTTAAAACATAAGAGGGTTTAGGAAAGGGCAGAAAATAATACGCTTTGGGCATTTGACTGACTTGAAAGTCCAAGCTTATTTTAGTTAAGACTATTAAAATCATTTGAAAAATTATGTGTTAGTTTTGCTGGAAAAGAGAAAACGGTCAATTGTCAGATTTTCCACACCAACGTAAATATAACACCACACATGGAATATACTGAGAAAACTATCAGATAGCATTTTATACACTAGTCATTGTCTCAACCCACGATCCTGTAAGTTCTCATCAAAATATGATTTTGAAATATTGGCCAAGATTCATTTCTTTAACTGAGAAGAAAAGAAAAGCACACTGCCTAAATGCATAAAAGAAAAATGCAGAGGTTATTAAAATGTAAAGAGGTAACAGTCTTTGGATTTGTCTATCTATATCTGTATCAATATATAGATATAGATATATATATGGCTCTGCCTTAATATACCCCTTTTTTGTTTGTGACTTTCAACTGTAATCAGTTAATAAAGTATTTATTCTCTGCATTCAGGTTCAAATAACTTGTTGCATTCTCTTATACATAATTTGTATTTATTGGACAATGAATGATTCATTAGTATTTTGAGGTGTTTGACTTATAGGATTATTAAGCATTCTGATCTTCTTTGTAAGAGACAAGTGAATACATGAGATTCACTAAACTGTAAGTTTCCTTAAGTTGGGAGTTTACCTTGATCAACACAACTTCCCCACAAGCATGTCTTGAACTACAGAATCTTAGGTCAGCATTTCTAGTAGATAAAATGTAGCCTTTTACCATTATTTATCGGGCAGAAGCTATTTTAAAAGCTTGGCAAATGCACTGACACATAGGTCCTCTCTTACAGGTGAGAACACCTGTTAGTAGTTCCACCTGAATTTTCAGTACTGTTTTTAAATGCTTGTTTTAGAACCTTCATAAGAACAATTTGACTTCTTGCTGAAGTTCAACTAGAGAACACACGCACATTTAACTTATTGAATCATTACAGATAACTGGGGAAAAAATGGCTACTGCCCTTTACATTGGCCTTCGTTATTACTTTAAAATATATATTCCAAAGAGTTTTTTTCTTCAGCAAAATGTTTGAGGACAATACTTCTCCTATCTAACATAATCCTTTTGTGCTCGCTTCGGCAGCACATATACTAAAATTGGAACGTAACATAATCCTTTCATTAAAACTTTTAAAATCTTTACTTTTTAACAGTATTTGTCTCCTAATAGTTGAATATAAATGCTAAAAATACATGAGAGGGTAATAATTAGTTTCAAGGTGGGAAAAACTTAGGTTGTTCATGGGAACAGAAAAATGAATTTGTAAAAACATTTTGCTTGAGGAAATACGAGATGAAAAATGCCACTGGTAGAACCTTTAGTCTGGAACAGGTTCTGCAGTCATGGTGTTGTAAAGACCAATTTTTCTAAAGTAGTACCTGATGAAATAAGGGAGACTAATGAAAGAAAATCACTGACTGGGCATCATGGTATACTTTGATATGTCTGCTGTGTTTGCATGTCTAGGCCAACTTGTTCTTTTCTGTGTGACATCGGAGACATACTAGAAAATCCTTGGAATTAATTGAGTCATTAGCGGAAATAACTAATTGTTCACTTTATAGGGTATTCAGTTTTAACTAATCTAAAACCTTGTGTTTACCATGTTTAAACCTTAAACCGATTTTTGTCCCTATTTTTTGTAAGGAAATTGTTTTTAAACTACCTAAAACTTTGTGTTTTTAAGCACTTTTTATTCAAGTATACATTAAAGAAAAGTATACAAATTATAGGTTATAATGTTTGAAAGACCACTAATCACCACCAAGGTCAAGAAAGACATTACTGGCATCCCATATGCTTCCTATGTGCCCCCCTCATCAGGACTCCTTCCCACCAAGTGACCACTGTCCCAACTTCCACAGCCATATATAGGTTTTATTTATTTCTAAGTTTTATATAAATGGGATCTGAGAGTTTATATTCTTTTTGTGCAAGGCTTCTTTTCAATATTAGTTCTGTAACACATCAACAAATCCATGTAGCAATAATTACATCTTTTCATTGCACCATAATATGCCACCTTGCAAATATGCTGTAATTTATCCATTATGCGATTGATGGATGTATATTAGTTTCGTATTGCTGCTGTAACAAGTTACCACAATTTAGTGGCTTAAAACAATACAAATTTATGATCTTACCATTCTGGGGATCAGAAGTCCAAAATCAGTCTTCCTGGGCTGAAATTAAGGTGTCAGCAGTGCTGATTTCTTTTGGAGGCTCCAGGGAGCATCTGTTTCCTTCCTTTCCAGCTTCTAGAGGCTGCTTGCATTCCTTGGGTTCCTGGCCCCTTCTCCAGCTTTGAGGTCAACCGCACAGCATCTTCAGCTGGGTGCTTCCATCACATGGCTTCTCACTCTGAACCCGCTGCCTCCCTCATGTCAGCATCCATGTGATTAACCTGGACCCACCTGAGCAATCCAAAGTAAGCTCCCTCAACACTTGACTCTCCTTGCTAGCATGGTTTCTGAAGAGAAATTGGTCATCATTCTTTGCTCCTCTGTAGGTTCCCCCCCCTTGGCTTCTTTCAAGGTTTTTTATCTTTGATTTTATGCAGTTTGATATGTTATGCCTAGGTGTAGTTTTTTGGAATTTATCCTTCATGTTCTGTGAACTTTCTGGATCTGTGGTTTAGTGTCTTGACATTAATTTGGGGGAAATTCTCAGTCATTATTGCTTCAAATATTTCTTCTGTTCCTTTCTTCTGTTATTTCCATTATATATATGTTACATCTTTGTAGTCCTACAGTTTTAGGATATTCTGTTCCTTGTCCCCTCTCCTTCTGGTCTTTTTCTCTTTGCTTTTTAGTTCTGGAAGTTTCTATTGTCACGCATATTGTCACCCAGAGATTCTTGACACAGCCATATCCTGTCAACTAATTAGCCCATGGAAAGCACTCTTCATTTCTGTCAGTTTTTTTTTTTAACTCTAGTATTTCTTTTTTATTCTTAGAATTTCCATCTCTCTGCTTATTATTGCCCATCTGTTCTTGCATGTTGCCTACTTTTTCTGTTAGAGCCTTTAGCATATTAATCATAGATGTTTTAAATTCATGGCCTGATAATTCATCATCTTTGCCATATCTGAATCTGATTCTGATGCTTCATCTCTCTCTTCAAAATGCTTTTTGCCTTTTACTGTGCTTTGTAATTTTCTGTTGATAGCTGGACATGATGCACTGGGTATAAAGAACTCCAGTGAATAGACCCTTAGTAATGTGGTAAGGTGTTGCAGGGGAGGGAAAGCATTCCCTAGTCCTGTAATTAGGTCTCAGTGAGCCTGCACCCGTGGGCTGTGAACTTCACAAGTCTTTCCCAGACCCCATCTCCACCCCCAAGCCCTTACACCTTAGGTGGGACAGGATGGCTAGATGGGGAACACCAGGGGATTTTTCTCTGATTTTTCCCTTTGAGATCCTGGTAGAGCTCCTGGAGGTAAAACTCACAAAAGTGTGAGGACGAGACTTGCCTACTCTGAGTCTCCAGCAACTTGTCAATTACAGTTCAGACTTTCTTACCCCAGAACTGTCTCCCTCAGAGGTTTCTGCTTGGGAGTTTCTAGTTAAGCAAGTTATTCTGTGTCCACTTGCCAATCTCCAATTCTGGGAACAGGAGTTGGCCCTGGGACCTCACTTCTCTGACAAATGGAGTTGATTTTTCAGTTCAGCCTTTTGCTTGTTAGAGAGATGACTTCCAAACTCCTTACTTGATGGCTTGGAAAGTGGAAGTCTCATTTCTCCCTCTCAAAATCTAAGCACATCTACAAAAGTCCCTTTGCCAAACAAGGTAACCTTCCCAGGTCCCCAGGGATTAGGATATGGACACCTTTGTAGGATCATCATTAAGCCTCCCTACAAGATGTTAGCAACTTTAAGCTTTTCAATTGCTATTATGAATTGTGCTGTTACAAACACTCTCAAATGTGTCTGGTGGGAAATACATTTCTATTGAGTATATATGTAGATGTGGATTGCTGGGTCCATAGGCTAAGTGTATATTCAGCTTTAGTAGATAATGCCAAATGGTTTTTCCAAAAAGGCTATAAGAATTTCCATTCCTGGGAGAAGATATTTGCAAATGATATATCTAATAAGTCTAGTATCCAGATTATATAAAGAATTATTACAGCTCAAGACAAGTAACCTAAAGTTAAAATGGCCAAAGGATTTGAATAGACATTTCTCAAAAAAGAAAAAAAAAACACAAATGACAAGCACAAGGAAAGATGCTTATTCTCATCTGTAGTTGGGGAAATGCAAACCAAACCACAATGAAATACCACTTCACAACCAAAATAAAAAATGAGTGTTGGCCAAGATGTGGAGAAATTAGAACCCCATACATTGCTGGTGGGAATATAAAATGTAAAATGGCAACCACTTTGGGGAACAATGTGGTGGTTCCTCATAAGGGTATACACATAGTTACCATATGACCCAGCAATGCCACTCCTAGATAAATACCCCACAGAATGAGGACATACGTCCTCACAGAAACTCATATACAAATGGTTATAAGCAACATTATTCATAATAGCGACAAGATGCAAAGAACCCAAACATCTACCAACAGACAAATGGATAAACAAAATGTGGCATATCCTACAATGGAATATTTTTCAGCTGTAAAAAGGAATGAGGTATTGATACATGCTACAACATGGATAAACCTTGAAAACATGTTAAGTGAAAGAAGCTAGTCAATAAAGTCACAATACAGGATTCCATTTATGCAAAATTTCCGGGATGGGCAAATGCATTGAGACAAAGTAGATAAGTAGTCTGTCTTTCATTTTAGACATGCTGGCAGGTATACAGTAGGATTTTCTAGTGGTTTTAATTGTATTTCCTTGATAACTAATGAAATTAAGCATGTTTCATGTTTATTGGCCATATAGATCCCCTCTTTTGTAGAGTATCTGTTCAGGAGTCTTAGGAGTCTTGTCCTTTCTATTTTCTTTTTCTTTTTTGGGAGGGGAGAGGGGTGGGAGGAAGGTGAGGGGGAAACTATCTGACTTTTTCTTACTGACTCACTCTTCACATATTCATGATGCTTGTCCTTGTCAGTATGTATTGTAAATATCATCTCTCATTTTGTGGTTTGTCTTTTCACCCTCTTATTGGTATCTTTTGATGAATAGGAGTTACTGATTTTAATGTTCCATCTGTCAGCTTTTCTTTATGGTTTTTGCTTTTATGACCTATTTTAAAGAAATCTTTGCCTTCAAGGTGATGATATTCTATGATTTTTTTTTTCTAAAAGATTTATTGTTTTACTTTTCTACAATCCTGGGATTGATTTCTATGCATGGTGTGAAGTAGGAAACAAGATTTTTTTTTTTCCTTTACCATGGGTATTCAGTTAGTTCAGTACCATTGTTGGGAAAATCATCCTTTTTCACCTCACTGCAGTGCCCCTTTGTTCATAATTTGTCCATTTATGTGT